CATTACAGATTGATGTATTCTACATGTCAGTTTTCCCATTTAAATGGGATGGAATATGAAAGAGAAGTTCTCAAACCCCCTTTCCTCACCCTCTCAAAGAAGATACTCACAAATATCAAGAGTTCACAATGTTCTAAATGCCTACATAATCAAATACCTCACAACGGGTCAGAAGGTTGTGGTTAACAGCAGACCCAGCTACCCATCTTAAAAAGTACAAAATGTGTCTTTAAACCACACCCCTCCCAAAATATCAACGATTAAGGCAAGCGAGAGTATGAAACAATTGCCACTTTTGGAAGCATGATGCTCTACGTCTCATTGTGGTACCAAGGCAAAGACGGAACTAGACAACAACAGACTCAACAGCCACTCTGTCTTGGACACAACACTGGACTTGGCAGATGTCAATCCTAAAGCGACGGTTTGTGCGTACTGACTCCACAGAGTGAGAGATGTTGCCAGGCAAGGTGGCAAGCAGTGTTAACGAGGCAAATGTAATCTCAGTGATAGGCATTATATCTTTTCTTTCTCATTTTCATGATCACCAGTTCATTCATTTTAAATTACTCTCTCTAAATACAGGGGAAAAAAAAAAAAAAAAAAAGTGCATGAGATTATGTTTGCTCTTTTTAACACTGATAAAAGCCTCAGCAATAATATATTTCCAGCAAGCCACATTCCTGACATCACAGGCAGCAAAATCCAAATAGGTAGAATATGAAGAGTTAGTAGGAATCAGATGTAGGTAATGAGGTGTAGTCTATAGCTAGGAGCTCATGGACTTCCTCAACATACAGACAGTGTACTAAGTAAGGGGTCACCCTAAGGCAACCTTTAGAAGTGAGGAAATTTGCGACAGCAGGATACTCTGTAGTGACCATGAAGAGAAGTGATGTAGTAGGAAGCAGGGGATTCTATGGCGACCCTGGCAAATTGTACATGAAGTTGAGTTTCCTACAGTCCTTGGAGTTGTGCAGATCCAGATGGTCAGGCCGGTCTGTAGAACACGTATGGGTCCCCGGTGAAGAGGAATACTCTCGGGACACAACGCACAGGAACTCTGTATGATCTTCACTACCATAGCTGTACTGAGACCCAATATTTATCAGCTGTGGAGGAAATAATACTCTAATGAGAAAGTAGTACCACTGGGTCTTTTCAAATATATGAAATCATCTAAGACATAATTATCAAAAAAAACTCCTGATAATAAGAGCAGGAAGATATACTAATAAAACCTCACTAAAATGGGTGACAAATTTAGTTATTAGCAAGAAAGTTTTTTTCTGGTTGGCTCCTCTATAAACAATACCTTGTCTTGCACTTGTCTCTCAATAAATTTAAGGCATCATCAAGATAAAATGACATATACTTTAACCTAATGCCAATGGAGATGGAATATACATATATGCCATGCACACTGTGAGTTTAATTTATTAATTGTTTTTACACTTAGATGGCTCCACAAGTAATAAGTCATCATTAAGCCAATTACAAGTACTACCTATCTCACCTGTTTATCCTTTTCCTTGATTTCCGAAAATATTTTGTGGTATCTTACATTACTGCTGTTTGTAATGTCTATAACATTATAATAATTATAATGTCTATTTGAAAAATAACATCAGTATTGAAAGCATTAGCAAAAAAAATGTTTTTCCCACAAACTCAAGGAAAGGTCATATCAGGTGATGTCACAAGATCTATTTGACTCCTTTGTGGTTAAGCACTTGCAAAGCCATTTATATGCAGAGACATTTCACAAAACAGTACTTCAGTGAACATATTTTCCTGGTGATGGTGGGTTAACTTCAACAAGTCTATGCTTCAAAGAGTGTCCACCTAATCTCCATATAATGATATTAGTTCTCTTCAAAACACTGTGTTATATGAAAACACTTTATGAAAAAAAAAAAAATAATAATAATAATAATTGGTACAACATGAAATAGAATCATCTATAACATGCACATCACACATACCATAATATCATATTAAAAAGGGAAGGAAGAGAGAAAGAAATACGAAAGACTTACTTGTTCGAACTTCCATCCGTCTGACATTGTTGAAACAAGTTGAGTTAACTCATTTTCGTGGCACTGAAGGACTCGATACATGTGCTTCTTTCCTGCCTTTGGCGGCCTGTTATCTCTCTGATTTATATGCTCCTTCACTAACCTAATCAAGTCTGTGATGTTGTAAAATTCTGCTTCTTCTAGTACACCTGCAGCAAAGACATGTTCTTATATTCAGCATTATAATCTAGCTGAATATTAATACAAAATGGTAAATCTCCACATCCAATACTCTTTCAACATCCATTATTACCAATATAGAAAGATCAATTCATAAAAAAAAACTAAGCTCCAAAGGATAGCAGTAACTTACCTTCCTCAGCTAAATCTTTATTCATAACTAATTTCCCATGTCGTAAGTAATTCAGCACCGGCCCAAAGTATGTGGGATCCCTGTCTATTAAGTAGGCACCAGTTTCATC